TTGATTTATAGGGGGTCTCCCGCTTTGAGGGGGTGTCATCAAGATGATGGAAACCAACAGGCGGTCTCTTCAAAGGAAAATGTCCAAATCTGGCACTACCAGAACGAAACCAGCGGTGTCTTGAATGCTTTCCCATTTTCAATCAGACCTAGAAGGTTGGCGAAGTACAAGGCCCCTATATTTTCCGACTAAACATCAAGAGGAAACAGTCGGTCCACAAAGTGATGTCTAAACCGGATTGAAAGGCCGCTTCCAGGTTCGCTTAGCCCCTCCCCAAAGTGCTTCTGTGCATCTAGCCAACTGGCACTTTGGTGCTCCGTGTGTGCAATAGCAGCCCACACAAGCCCCGGCATTCTCAGGGATCCACAGGGCGGCAGTCGAGTCTCCCTGCTAACTCCAAACCTGGACGAAATCCGTTTCGCACCACCGAAGAAACCCTGGGAGAATTCGCTTGCCCTGTAAATACCAACGGTCTCAAAGTGGTCTCAAAGTGGTCTCAAAGTGGTGCGAAATGGATTTCGCCCGTCCATCCGCAGCTAGGTCCTCCAGTAGAGAGGTTTGAACAAGGGTACCCTTTTTTTCTGTAGTCTATTTTAGTTGGGGAACCCTCCCAACCAAAAAAGGGGGTGAGAAGGCTGGGGGACCTAGACAGCATGCCCCAACCCCAGGTCCCATGCCCCGGGGCCCGGCCCAGGGGGCCCGGGGACCCCAAGCGAATCAACCCGCGCCTGTGACACCAACGAGCGCCTGCAGTTGGCATCTCACGGAAATTCCCAACTGCCACCGGGGTTTTGGAGCTGTGCTTGCATCCAATAGCTTGTAACGCAGCATATGCCCCGTGAGAGGGGTGTATATATATATATAGGGGGGGGGGGGGTACTTGTCTGACCCATGACCATTGGGGGAGGGGGGGGGACTGGCAACGCTGCACCATATATATATATATATACATGTATACACATAGATGTATGATGTATAGTGAGTGGTAGACATCATTTCCATTCCTCCAAAACCCATCCCTTTCAAAGGCCCAACATTTGGAGCGGCACCTTTTGAAGGGAAACCCACAGGAACATCTTCGGGTCTCCCCTGGAGACCAAGTACTTGTGTTGGGAATTTTTAGCGTCCCCCCAGTTGACCTTTGAAACATTCTACAGCGAACAAAGAAACGATTCGCATCCCGAAACAGACTGAACAAAGAAAGTCGGCGGACGAACTCCAACTCCCTCCCCGTTTCCTCAGGAAGAGTGTAAGTTGGAAGGGCTGCACTGGACACCAAAACCAGCGAAACCATACTTTGATATATTTTACCATTGGAGAGAAAAAGGCACACGGAGCGACGCACGCCCTGTTTCATGGTGGTTTGCAGCACCTAAGAGCAAGACTTTGCCCTTGCTTCCATGCTCAGTTGATACAGGCAAAGCTGGCTCCATATTAGACATCCCGCTTGGCCAATCAAATGGCTGCATATGGGCCAAGATGGTGCACATGATTTGCAGTAACCCCCCTTGCGCCCCCTCACAACGAACACATGATTTGCCAGTCACAGGGTCTCAAGGAGTTTGTCAACCAGTCTTCCCTGGATTGCCACTAGCAAGGAATTTGGTCCATCCCTGGTCAGGGCTCTTCAGGTAGACAGCTAGAGGGGGGAATCTTTTCGGGGAAATCAACCACGGGGCTTGGTCTACGGGCGAGTCCCAGTGCTCCCAGCGAAAAGGTGAAGAGAAACATTGCAACTAGCTCATGGGGGTAGGAATCATGCGGCTCTTGAGCCTCTTGAAACGAACAAAAATAGGGCCCCCCGAAAAGCATAGGTTGCTGTTCCCTTTGGTTTCCAACAATGCCAGCAGCCGAGGTCACAGGAAATCCTGCTCAGTTCCGGAGCCACCAAGAAAAGACACACCCTTGCGCTCCATTTGCTTAAGGCCCCTGGAAAAAAAAAATATATATTTCCAGTAGTGATAGACTCCCTTTAAAACCAAGAGGGGAAAATACATAATATTCTTAATTAAATGGAAGCTTGAGCCGTTGCCTTCTCCAAGGACCCATTGTCCAACGAGGCCAGCAAATTCCGCTGCATCCTCGCGAATCGAGGCGCGCCCGGACGCTGCCTTTTCACGAAACGAGAGCCATATGGCAAGCGAACCAAAATCAAAACCCGGTACAAAAATGGTCGACCCAGAACCATGCTTCAAGAACTAAGAAGGCGGATATCCGCAGCTATTTATGGGTGGGATCTTAATAACCTTAACTTGGTTTTGATTGTGACATAAGTGGAAGTTGGAAAGCTCAAGTGGTTTTGAACCAGTCCGGAGTTAGGCATTGCTGAAACCTGTACGTTCGATCGGCCATTTTGCTTTTGATCAACCATGACAAATGTATACTACATCTACCCCGGGACGGCCTAAAGGGCTGCCCCAGTTTCTCGTTTCAGCTGTGGTTCTGGTTCTGGTTCTGGGGTTGTGGTTGTTGCGGTGGGTTGGTCGTACAATCTGGTCAAAATAGAACAATCGTAGGATTTTTGGTAAAATTACTCCAAAGCCCTCTTGTGAACAAGTGTGCAGTATAAGTGTACAAAACAAAAACAAAAAACATATCAAAGACTCTAGTGATGCCCATTGCTTGCTTCTCTTCATTGAACATCTAAGAACTTATATCTTCCCTGAGAATCTTTCACTTTCCTCGGCCCCAAGCCAGTGATCCATCCCCCCCCTCCCCCATGCCCAGTGCTCCTCTTCCGAAGCGCCTCCTCACCTGGCAGCTGAAAACGGCATTCCGCTTTCAAACGGGGAGAAAGGAGACACGTGTCCGGTAGCAAATGCCTTGCGCTCGTTTTGCGGATTTCTGCTTTTGTTCTTGTCCAGTTTCCGGGTTGCAAAGAACATGTTCATAGTTGTTTTTCGTTCACGGGGTTCCCACACCCATGTTCTATCAAGGATTCCATTCCAGTGGAAGATTTGCCTCTGGTTCTTGGCAAGGGAGGCCAAAGATGGTGGCTCACATTTTGGCCAATGCAAATAGAAACCTGCTTCCCTCGACTCACCCCTTTCATGTCCTTTTGGCAACCTGCATGCGACCTGCAATGGAGCATTCCTCTGGTGAACACCGGGTGGGCTCCTTTTCAAACTCTTTGAAAACCATCGTAGGTCAAGCCAGTCCCCGACATGCTGAAAAAGCTCCAGCACAAAGAACCAACCAGTGGGAATAATGGGAATTGCCTACTTCTGTGACACCACTCTATTGTAAATAACGAGTTCTCCATTATCTCAAGGTTTCTTGTGCACAGAAGTTTGAAGTGGGGGGAAAAACACCTTGAACATTTGCACAGCCCTGACTCTGCAAAAAAAAAGTCCAAGACCTTTCGCGAGCTTCGACCGGACGTTGAAACGACGCCAGAGGCCAGTGGCCGGGGGCCCAGGCGGTCTCGCTCCTTCGACTGGCTCAAGGCCTGCTCGAGCTTTGGCGTCGGTAAGGATGGGTTGGTTTTCGGTATGCTGTAGCAAGGTGGGTGGGGTATTTTTTTTTTTTTAATGACTAAAATATTGTTAGATACAGCCGAATTTTATGGTGCTGTTAAAAAACGAAGGTGGTTGGTAGGAAGGTAGGTAGGTAGGCAGGTAGGCAGGTTGGTTGCCCACCTTGAGAAACTTTGGCGCCTTCCTCCCGCTTCTTTTCTGCAGGGTCGGGGTTCCGCAAAGTCTCTCCTTTCAAGGGAAAGGTGTCAAGTAGTCAACATATCATTCGACATGCCCACAAAAAGACCTCAGCAAGCAACGTTGTCAATGGGCTCGTCTCAAAACCAGCTTGCCACGATCAAGCAGTTTTGCATCGCTGATGTTGGATTTAGTCGAGTTTTACCAACCCTTCCGTGCATTCCAGTGCAAGTGGTCAGTGCATCCAATGTCATCCTCTTGACTATACGAAACTATTTGGGACTAAGTCCTAAAAAGAGACCCCGGTGGCCCCAGTTCCAAAAAAGACAGCCCTTGGGCTTGGTCGATTTAGAAACCCGCCACAAGAAGACAACTCAAGGCACCACTGGAGGTCTGTCCAATTCCCACCAGAAACCGATGAGGGCCCGATACCCATCAACCAACTCATACCTGGTAATAGTGTTCCCTTTACATATGTGTATGCATGTATATCCTTCAATCATTCCTTCTCCTTGAAAGCAGAACCCGGAAAACGAAAATCAATCCGGCCATGCCCACGCCCACACAATCGCCTTCTCCAGTGAGCCATCGTGCAGAGACTGAACCAAGCCGTCACGGATCCTCAGTGGAACGCATAGAAAACGCTAAACAGGGTTGGACGTAACATTGCTTGCGATTCTGTGGCGGCACCTTTGAATATTGAAAGGGCAGCGGGCAGCGAAAAGGACGCTCACAAACAAATGACAATTCGCCATCCGGTCGCGCAGGGATTGCCAGCTGACCCTCCACCATCTTGTGCAACATGTCCTAGGTACTCTGGAGCAAGATGCATGTTCGGTAGTGTGTCAGACGTAACAGTTGGTCGTGAGATGGTAGACCCATCCCCATCACCACTCAAACGGTGAATCTTCCCTGATCCAACTCGATCAAGTGCTGCGTGCCACGAGTCTAAAATGGAAATGGGGTATCCAATGGATTGGTGAATAAAAGTAGCCAAACTTGTTTATTCCCCAGCAGCTGAAAGCTTTGGGGTCTCAGCCCAGATAGGCTCCGGGGTGGTCCGGGGCGGCCCTGAGGTAAGGTTCCACGAGGTTCCTCCTTGGTGAAGAAAAGTAACCAAGCTCGTTTGATTTACCGCTGATCAACTGGATTGGTGAAGAAAAGTAACCAAACTTGTTTGATTTACCGCTGATCAACTGGCTTGGTGAAGAAAGTAACCAAACTTGTTTGATTTACTACTGATTCACAGTCCAAAGTCTCGAGTGACTAATTAGAGTCCGAAACGGAAAACTCGAGTGAGACACCCTCAGTCGCCCTAAAATTTGAGGCCAAGGCCGCGCCCGCCAGTCACCTGGGCGGACGTTTGGCTTCGCTGTCCCCTTGGCAACAAAAATCCCGAGATGTGTATCTGTATATATATATATATGTGTTTTTAATATATATATATATACCCTAAGGGTCACCATTCCCATAGGCGGCCTGCGGGCCCCTGGTCCAGAGTAAACAAGGACCCCTAATCCCAACCCCCTCCACGACATGCTTGCATCGTTTTCATATCACCTTCACGCTTCTTGTGGCGAATGAGCAACTGGAACTTGGCAAAGTGCCGTTGCATCACTCGCTGAGACACTGTGCTACGATGACATATTCGGGCAATCCGGAAATTGCTCCTACGACGGCTCTGCCACACAAAAGTGTGCAGAATGTCGGCGAAACTCTCTCTTGCCTGACAGTGGAGAGCAAGTGCATCATGTGGTGGTGCTTTGGGATCAGCGCCCACAGTCTCCTGTTCGGCTGCTTTCCGCGGATGGCCGACAACAAGCTGCGCAAATGTGTGTGCGTGAGCAAGTGAAGCTGACCAAGCTGGTAGAAGCTTTGAGCTTCAACCACGCAAGTTCTGCTCATCCATCTGTTGAGCCTCGCAAGAGTGAAGCGTGGCTGCGTAGATAGAATTTTGTTTTGCTTCTTCCACTGGCCAAAACTGCACGAAGGCAGCTTTGAGAAGAGGGCCGAGCGATCTGTCGTGTCTGCCGCGCGTCCAATGTCCAAAGGCGCCGCCCTCTGCGAGGTACACGAGGGCGCTGCCGTTCGTCACCTTCCCCGTGCCAAGCAGTTGCGAATGGCACACATTTTGCAAAAAGCGTTCCGAGGCGGGCACCAGAAATTCTGAAGGCGATCGATCCTGAGAGAGCTGCCAAGGCAAAAGGGAAGGCGCGTGCGACCTCACGTGATTTTGGAGCTGAAAAGGATGGTTTGCTTTTGAGGGCTCGCAGTCCTCCATTGGATGGGTAATGACCCTGACGGGGCAGATTTGAAAGAGAGAAGCACGGCCGGATGGAAAAAACATATTTCCATCACGCAAGAATCTGAGGTGCGCAGGAGTGCTCTGTCCATGAGAGGTGAATGTGTTACGGTGTGAAGCCGGCTCCAACAGTCATGAAAGTCATGCTCACATCCGCGTGCTCTTTGCAGCACTGGCGCCAGCTACAAAAAACAAGTTGGAGCGGAAAGGATGGACACGGTGCTTCTTGACCAGCCACTTACGGTCTGATTGCGCAGAAGAGAGCATAAACTGGTACTAGTCTCTCCAAGGATAGCTCTGCTGCACACCATATATGCGCTCCGCAACTGCTCCCGTGAAGTCGTGCGTGACGTGCAATCAGAAAGTACCACGCAAAAGGCAAATGTCTGTAGCACAAATCACTGCACCAGGCAAGGACATCCAGATTTCCAACCTCCGAATTCCCCGAAGTTTGGACGCCGTCTCCGTAGATCACTTTGTGAAACGGCTGACTGGCAGCACAGCAGGGTGCGCTCGGAACCACGGGGAAGTGGAATGCACATGCTTCCAATATTCAACAAGATCCACACCGGCAGTGAAGAAATATTTGGACAAGTCCTTGCTCCCAGACAGCCGCTGCTAGCTTGTCCTAAATTTTTGGCCGTGCGCAATATCTTCTGATTTTTGGGTCCCGCGGGCGGGCCTTCGCAAGTTCAGTTTCAATTGTCATGCCGTTGAGGCTTCTGAGGATGGCGCGCAAGTCGCTTTTGCAGTTGCTTGTGCGCAGGCCGGCTGACCCTATGCGCGCTAGCCGAGCCACCTTGCGCGCCACGCCGCCAGACTTCTGGCAGAAGGAGACGGCCGCTGTGGCCAGTTGCTGCACCTTGGGCGGCTGCAAAGAACTGCAGTTTCAAGGAAAGTCTTTCACTCACAGACTCGGGGTCACGGCGAAATCTGATGAACGCTTACATAGCCGAGGAAAAACGACTTCCAAACATCGCCGGAAGCTCTGGCCTTGAGAGCGGTCACGTTTCTGTGACAAAGTCGTCTATCAGCATTTCAGCTAGTCCAGACACAGGTGCCGTAGACGAGCTTGCGTCTGCAAACAACGCAGGCTCATTTGCGTTAAGCCGCGCTTTCTTGGCCTCGAGCGTGCCAATTTCGCTCGAGAGACGCCCCTTTTTTGCTACACCCTTTCTTTCTAAAAGGAACGCCCCTGTTTGAAAGGGACACCTATTTGTTTGAGGGGCACCCCCTTTGAAAGAGGGACACCCCCTTCTCAAGAAAAGGCAGCGCCGTGTTGAAAGAGGGACACCCCCTTTTGAAAGAGGGATCACGCCTTTCCTTTCGAGACACCCCTTTCTTGAGGGAGACCGCTTGTTTTGCAAAATGTTTAAACCATAGAGTGCAAGGCGCATTGATCAATTGGCTGGGTGATGTGAAAGCAGCATCATATCACAATTGTCATTTGGCATGGGCCCTTTTTCTAGCAACGCAACGCGACCCTTATACTGAACCCGCTTTGATGGACAAGGAGTTGTTGTCGGTGCTTTTCACATGCAGAGAAAAGAGAGCAACCTCCCCCCCAACCTTGCTTGGACACTCTCGCTCTCTCCCTCTCTCTCTCGGATTTTACTTGCCCCGTCAAGAACGTGATGCGTGCGGCCATTGCCAGCTGTTGCACTCTAAAATCTCACCCATAGCAAAAAAGGAGGTGCAACAGCTGTTTGGAAGCTTCGTGTAAACATGGGCCACAAACTGTTTAGGCCGCAACAAAGCTGAGCCATGGCCTGACTGCCCAGCGCTGGTAGCTCCAGCGCTGCTGGCTTCAGTCTTTCGTGTCGTTGTTGGAGTCGGACGCCATCAGGGTCTGGCTGGGCAACACCAAGTCAGAGTTGCCCGTTGTTTCCTGGGGAGTACGTGTTTCTTTGAAAACTTGTTTAGGCATGAAGGCTTCATTTTGTGGCATTTTTTTGGCCTTCGCTGGGCGCGCTTGACAAGCCGAAGGGATCTAAGATGACGGTCGCCTCCGGCAAATTACCTTTGGTCCAGCGCAACACGCAGTTTTAAGGGACACGCCCTATCATCTAAGCAAAGCGCTTGTAGACTTCTTGCTTTTCTTGGATGTCCGAGCTCTGCGTGGATTAGGGATCATGACATCTTTCAGCCTTTTCGCGGCCTTGCAGGGGCAAGCAGTTGTTGAATCCAACACCCCCTTAAGGATCGAAAATGGGAGGGGAAGTCTCCAATGCGATTTGCATATTCTGAGGTTTGTAGGCCAGTCCTCCGTCTGTGTGCCCCTTTGCGTTGCTTTGCCGCCAGTAACGCCTTGCGTAACTGAGCAAGCTGTGGAGCGAATACCTCCTGAGCCAATCATGTCCATGCATGCATGCATGCATGCACGTGCATGTGCGGTCTGTGTGGCGTTTTGACGCTTGACGCCGGGTCTTGTCTAAGGCCCATCTGCAACAGTCGCGTCGGGCCTTTTGTGGGACAGTCGGTGATCTGCTTCGGCATCCAGTTTAGAACATACCCGCCAAGAAGGGACTAGGGAAGTTATCTTGACGGGCGCAACAGTAAAGGATTCAAAAGAAGACATGATTCGCATGTGCATTCACCTCTTCACACTTCGCCTTCAGGCCATACTCGGTAATTGATAACCATGTCAGGGAACAATGTTGGCACTTTCTTATCAATAGCCGCCCTGCAGCATTGGACAAAGGCGTTTGTGGGAAGGTGAAGTTTTGTCAAACCTCAGCTGCTCGTGTGAGTCTCAAATCCTTTTTGCATGCGGTGCCGTAGGCGCATGTAAAAACGCGACTCCAAGTGCTGGCTAGGCACTCAAAGCCTGATCCTTTTCAGGGCTCGCAGCCATGTGTCAAGCCACGGGTGGGCGGGCTAAGAACTTTGAAAATGCATCACCAATTGTGGCATATGTTGAAGTCCACGGTCGCGTGGGTGCCCCAACAAACGGCCTTCAAAATCGCCTTCCGCGAGGCATCAGCAGCAGCGCCAGAGCCGACGGGCCGGAAACGCGGCACCATTGGGTGGAGGTAAAGTGTCAGCCCCCTATGCTTTTTGTTTGCCACACGCTTGCAAAAGGACCGAAACTTCAATAGAGGGATGATACTCATCATAGTCACGTCATGAGTACTGAGTGAAAGTACCGCCGGGCCCCTGATCCAAACTCAAGGGCCCTGAGCCCTGATTGAAACCAAGGGCCCCGCCACCTTGGAGGGGCCAACGACCCTTAGGGTATATATATATATATATACACATATATATATATATACACATATAGGTATTGATACATGACCATTTTGGGCAACTACCAAAAAGATGGCAGTCTCAACAAAAGGGAAAAGCTACTCATGGTCATTTGGGGGCCAGGAATATTGATCAACCCCCACAAATATTTAAATTATTACAAGGGTTGATATGTACACATAGTAGCTGATCTCTGAACTTATTGTCCTGGATAGAATTGTTGCTGCGTCTATCTGTTCAATTCGTTTCTTTGTTTCGGGTGAATGCATATGTGTATGTATATGTATAAGACTAAGATATATATATATATATACACATTGTCCCCCTCTCTGAGTGCTGAAGGTCCTAAAGCCCCATGCATCAAACTTCAATATGGGTGTGACTTTGCCTCTGGGGATTCATGATCAGGCGCTTTGGCTTTTGGGGCGGTTCCAACTCTTCAAAGACCTGTCCAAAATTGGCAGGCTCTTGAAATGAACTCTGAAAACCAACCCGGCTGAAGTGGTTCCTGGGAAGCCACATTCTCAAGGGGAGCCTGCAAAAGTTGCTGGCGTGTCCTGTGGTTTCGGTTTTAAACGACCCAGAAAAAGGTACTTTCAACAAAAGACACGGCCGTATGGGTTTTGTGAGGCGGTATCTGGTTGGGGCTCCATTCAGGTTCTGGAAGTCTATCACTTCGGCGACCACTCCGGAGAATCAATGACCCGCAAGGGGCTGTAAGAAAACCAACGCTCCCCAAGGGGCTTTCCGAGGAGAAAAACAAGGGGGTACCTGAGCGTTTTTGGAACGTAGGTTCATTCCCAAGGCCGTTCGGCTATGGTTTTCCTTAAGAGAATCCCCAGGTTCATTGCAAGACAAGAACCATCACATTCCAGGATTGACCAAGGGTCAGAATCCTTTCTGACACTCGCGCCAAACTGTCAGATGTAAAGAACTAGCACCTGCCACTTTTGCCAAGCCCAATCGTGTTCGCATTTTCGCCCGCCCAAAAAGGTTGGCTTTCTTTTAGTTATCTTGACAGCAACTTAAAGGGTTGGAATTTAAACAAGCACATGAACAGAAAGGGAGTATGCAAGAAAGTAAGGCAAAGGTAATTTATGGACCGACACCATAGCAATGACTCACCTATTTGGGCGTCTTTACGCAAAATATTGGGCGGTGAAGAGCAAATGCAGGGGGAGGTGAGGGGGGTGTTTTGAAGGGAAACCAAAGGGACACCACCCATTGTCGGTGTTTTTCACGGTAAGTAGGGGGAATAGTCCGGGTGTCTAGGTCTAGGTTCCTTGAAGGTTGGAATTATCACTACCATGTCAGGAAACTCACCGACAAGGCGATGTCCAACGTTGGAGGAACATGTCGGATTGGTGGTTTGGTTTGGTGGTTCGGGGTCGTTCCCATTTACCCTCTACAACATAGTGTTCAAATCCTCAAACCAATCCACACCAAGTTGGGGTGACGCAAAACGACTCAAAGGGAAGACTGGCCACATACAAAAAAACCAGTTGAAAAAACACGAGAACAGCGGGGCACAGGCGCTCTGAGTGCTCAGCCTGCAGCCTGGGAGGCATCCAAAAGGGCTGAGAAGTTGTAAGTATGGGTGGCTCGCCTCGGCCTTTCGGAACCGGAGCCCTGGAAATGACAAGGCCTCCCTTTGCTTTCCCCTTACCGACAAAAGTACCCCGGGGAAAAAGGAGAACAAAAACCAGGCTTTGCTTTAAACCCCAAGACCAGGTAATTAGTAGAAGCTCCGACTCCAATTGCAACTAGGATTCGGTGTTGGGCGATGGTCAAACTCTGTGGATGATTCTGCGCCGTCTCTAGGTCCTCCAGTAGGGAGGCTAGAATAAGGGTACCAACTTTTTTCTGTAGTCTATTTTAGTAGGGGAACCCTCCCCCCAAAAAAGGGTAAAAGGGCACTACTGGGGGACCTAGGCTGTTTCTTGTGGGGACCCATCGATGGGGGCGGCGGAAAGTGTCAGGGGATCGGAAGCCATGATCGTGTGAAGCAATGCAACTTCTGTGGGCTTGGACACAAGGATGTGTTCAGGGCTTTTTTTTCCGACACTTGGAACTTGAATCCAAAACGAAGCGACCCCGGTGAGTAGTTGCCCTCATGTTTATATGAAGCCACCCCAGGTTACCTCCCTCGCGGGTTGGGACACATTCCGGGCCGCGACTTTGATCCAAAAAGGGGGGCCCCCGGGCTTTTTGCGGGGATCCATGCTTTTCTGTGGAGTATGACCAATCCGAATCCAAACATGAGCTTGGCTCAAAATTACGGGTGGAGAATCTAACATGTGTTGGATTCTATGTTTATCTGTAGAGCATGACCAATCCAAACATGGCCTTCTTTCAAAATTGGGGTGGGGACCCCAGCATTTGTTGGATTTTAAGGTAATCTGTGGAGCACGACCAATCCAACATGGGCTTGTCTCAAAATTGGGGCGGGGAACCCAAATGGTGTTTTCCTTTTGGCTTATCTTCAAACACCAACCAAAAGAAGTCCCCCCCCCCTCAACAAGCAATAGGACCCCGCACCACAAAACAGAGATTTCAAGCTTCGAGGGTCGATCAACAACAAACAGAAGTGCCCTTTAGTCTTGTTTCGAGGTCATAGCAGGGTTCAACAAACAATGCCGCATCCCCTTTTCCCACCCCTAAATGGAGGCACCTTCCACTTGAATGAAGGTAGTCACTCTTTCCGTCCAGCCGACGCCCCAAAAAGGGGTGTCTGCCAGTTGGTTTCCCTTTAAAACCAAACAAACGGTGGTACCGTTTAAACACACCATTCACACGCCCATTTGGGATTCCTTCCGTCGCGCCTCGTCCTGGACAGCCAAGAGCGCGCTCTCCAGCTCGCCGTTCTCCGCAGCCTCCACTGGAAGAGGGGATCAAACTGGATTTTCCTTCTCGATGGGTCAAAAGACAAAGCCTGATTGTTCAGGGGAGACTTGCCAGGTGTTTGAGCTTTACCTTGGCAGGGGTTAACAACAGGAAGCCGATGGCAAATCAGGTTTCCCCTCGGCTGGAGGGCTTCTGTTGAGATCTTACCATCCCCAGCTACCCACCCCCGCCCCTCCCCCTCCCGCCCCCTATGTTAGGGGCTCCGGGTTGCTTTCCAGCCGGCCGAAACAAGGAGCCCAAACTTGAAACGACCAAGATATGTCACTCAATCAAGCATCATGAACTCAGTTGTTCAGTGACCCTGGGAAAAAAAATGGAACCCTTTGTTGGGGAAAAAGGGAAAAAGGGGGCCACTGAACAACTGAGTGAATCATCAGGGCCCTAGTTTTGACACCTCCCGCGCTGCACAAAAAAGAAGAAGAAAAACCACCTGGCGGACCGCAAGGACGTGGCGAATCTGAATCCCAGGACCCTGGAGGCTCTCGAAAACTGAGACCCAAGCAACCCATGGACAGGGATCCGGATGTAGTAGAAACGCCTGAACATTGCCACTTGTACATGGTGGTTTCCTTTTTTTTGGTGGAAAAAGCAACATGTTTCAAATGGTTGCAACATGGAGATCCTTTAAGGAGCCCTGCTGGAGTGTGGTTCCTCCAGCCCCACACGAAACCCAACGACCCGAGCGAGGCTGATGCAAGCAACCTGTCACAGGTCAGCGGGCTCTTCAAGCGGTATATGTCCAATCGCAGCGGTACCGCTTACACAGTGGATGAGGAGTTGGCTGTGGCTCAAAAGAAAGCGGTACCAAAAATGGCATGGTAAATGGAACCAACGCATAAAACCCGCGGTTTGCCCCAGCTCTTTAATTTTGAGCCATACCCAGTTGGCGTCTATGAAACCTCCCCGGTGCCTGCGTCAGGGTCTGGGCCAGACGCTGGCGCAGCGAGGGTTCCAGCTCTGCCTGGGATGGTTGCCGTAACCACGCCTCTCCAAAAAGTTTATTCCCTGAATTTCAAGCCATGAGAAGAACGGGGGTTTATATAACAGGTTGTTAGAAAAAAGAAAAAAACACACACACACACACAGCCGCAAACCCTGGTGTGTAAAGCGAAACATGGTGACAACTACGCATGCTACCTGCCATCCAAAAGGCAAATCAGCTTGAACCAGATCATGGAATGAAGTCTGGGACCTTTGGTGGACATCATTTCAGTGAGAATTCAATGTCAACCACCCTCTCTCCAACAGTCACGAAAGTTGACAAGAGGTAGTGTCCTTTTTGGGAACCGCCCCTGTCCTTCCAGGCCACCATCCAATGGGGATCGCCCTACCATAATGAAGGAGCCTGCGGCAAGCGCAGAGGTCCGGCCAGTCAGGCGTGTCTGCCAGTCAATCCCCACGTTTCGGACGAGCGCGCACACGCGCATCAGCACTTGGCCGCGCGACTTGACTTGGCTGGTCAATGGCAGATTTGGCGCCTTGATTTGCGGAAGGCGGCAACTGTCAATTTTGAGCAACTGGGCTTCGGCCACTGTTGATGTCCAATGAGGCGAGGCGACCAAAACGGCAGCATTCAGCTCACCGCGGAGTCGGCCACTCAAATTCGGGGCGTCGGCAAGGAGCCGAGTGCGGCAGCTGAGATTTGGCAACGTATCGTTTTGCAATGCAGAAATCACGGTTGCATCGCAGCTGCATCGTGCGAATCGAGCTCTGCATCGCTGCTGCTGAATAATAATAATAATAATAATAATAATAATAATAATCAGATGCTTCGCACTTGTTGAGTTGCACAGGAAAAGCCAGACCGGGGATTCGGCAACTTGAGGCTTGACAAGTCGGCAGCTGGAAGGGCCGGAATTGAGAACTGGCTCAGTAACGCCCCAACAATACCAGCAACACATTTGCTGGTTGGGTATTTAGGGCTGTTTGGGCTACGATTCGGCAACTGGTACAGCTGAATTTGGCGACTGGGACGTAGCAACTAGCGGGGCATCATGATTGTGTGACATGCCGCGGGTGTCTTCGGAGTTGGTGATCGAGATTCAAACGGGGGCTTCAGTCGCTGAGGCGGTGGTTTTTTGGCAAGTGGGTTGGCTGATGGATCAGGTTGGATTGGGCAACCAAGTATTTTTGGTACTGGAAAATACAAGGATGGCCAACCAAGCCAATGCGTGCCCGCCTCACACTTCTTTGCAGTCAATGACAGGGGCTGTGGCTTGAGCGGGCGCTCCAGGTACTCTTAAGTGAGTGCGCTTATCATTTGGCAGGCGTGAGTACAATGCTCAGCAAGTGCTCTTGAGATCTCTTCAGCGGGTGTACTTGTGGACAGTGGTGCGCAAGAGCTATTGAGCGAGTGTGCTTATCATGGCCTGCGACCAAAAAAAAGCTGCTGAAGCGCTGTTTCTGAATCGTGCAAGAATGGCTGCAGAATCACGGCTGCTGAGCCCTGCAAAAAAAAATAAATAGTTGGCTTGATCGCAGTTGCTGAGTTGCAGGTGAACCGCAGTTGCTGAGTCGGCAAGAGAACTTGCGGGATCGTAGTTGCCGCATTGCGAGAGAAACACTTGTTGAGACATCGCGCGGTTGCTGCAGCACGGTTGCTGCAGCGCCGTTGCTGAAGCGCAGTGGCTGACTCGGCGTCCAGCTGCATCGCTGTTGCTGCCTCGCAGTCGGGCAGTTTGTCCACCGCAGTTGCTGGGTCGCACCAGCTGAACCGGACTTTCATGCAACTTCGCTGTGGGTCACTACTGCGTACCGCAAATAGAATCCTTAAATGGAACCAAAGACTAAAGCCTGCGGTCCCCTGGTGGTTTTGTTTTGATCCATACCCACTTGCCGAATCGGACCTTTCAACTTTCGCACAGCGCTGGCTCCGGGTCTGGACAATTCCCATCTGAAAGTCAACCCGCCGAGGCGCTGGAGCAGGGGGATCGAAGGGGGTGTAGGCCATGTACCTGGCATGTCCGCTTTGGGCTCACCACTGAAAGGACCTATGCGTGTTCCGGGTACGAAAAAGATACTGACGCTGCTTCTTGCTGTTGCTCATGCTCCTGCCACTGCTGTTGTTGTTGCTGCGTCTGGTATTGCTTCTTGCCGTTGTTGGTTGGTTGGTTGGTTGGTTGGTTGGTTGGTTGGTTGGTTGGTTGGTTGGTTGGTTTCTTGTTGTTTGTTGCTGGTTCGATATTGGTTGTTGGTGGTTGGTTTGTGTGTTGGTTGTTGGGCGTTACCTTGAGCTCAAACCTTTCTGCCGTTACCTTTGGGCACCGAGCACCAAACTTCTCCCACCGAACGAGACGCCCAACAACGGGCAGCGCACCAGGTGCCCACGGAGGGCGCCGTGTGCCAGGGAGCCTGCCGGAAGTGGAGCACAGGCGACCAGGGAAACATACTGTGGATGGACGAAATCCCTGGAATGAGTCGATCCCCCTGTAAATACCAACCAAAAATGGTTTCCGCATGGCTTCAAAGTGGTGCAGGACTTTGTCCGTCCACAGTATCAGGTCGACAAGTATGATCGAGCATCTCATGTCGCAATGGGGGGCTTCGGACCCCGTTCGACTAGACTAGGTCTTCCAGATTTGAGAGGTTAGAAAAAGTTGGTACCCGATTTTTTTCGGTTTTGTCTATTTTAGTAAAGGAACCCTCCCAACCAAAAGGTGACAAAGGGTACTACTGGGGGACCTAGAAAAAGGAGATGGGTCGAGTCGATTCATCCGTCAACAGGACACCCCTTCGTCGGTTTTTTGCGTGGTCGTTTTCTGGACCAACAAAACTCCGGTCTTCCATTTGCTTAGGCAACCTGTGAGAAATAACAAACCAAACAAATCATATTTCCAGTAGTGATAGATTCCCTTTAAAACCAGCAAGGGATGCCTTTAGTTGCCAACCAGCCAGTTGTTATTTTAAAACAAAGGTCCACGGCCGAAGCCTAGAACTACACTCTGTGCTTGACTTGCGGGGGGCATGTCAAGAGCACATCAGTTTCCTTTGTGGACTACATCCAGAGGATGAAACCCCATTTACTTGGACACATGGTGGAGGAAACAGGGTTCGTCCATCAACGGTATCATAAGCCAATTGTATGTTGGGGCACAAATCCATTCTGTCTCTGGTTGGATGTGAAGTGTTGTCTATGTTGAACATATGTATAACCATTTATAACTATATATATATATACATATTATACATTAACATAGTATGGACACCGCTATCTAGGACAAACAGTTGACCACGAGGGAAACCAAACGGTAGCCACCTTTAGGACCATCCGTTGGACACTCTCACAGGGTCCCTCTCGTTTTTGGGCGGTTTTTGGTGGGTTTCCTATGTTCAGGAGCTGCTTTCACAGCGGTTGGACTCAGACAACAATATTCGTCCACATCGACTGTGTCCATCTTCTTCTCCATTCTGCCGACACGGGTCTGGGGTAGCATATCTCACCACGCCATACTGAACTCTCCCTTGCAGAGTCACACAAGCCAATGTTTCATTGATTCGAAGCGGTCGCAGTTAAGGCTCTCTCGAGATCGATCAAGCTTTCCACTGCACAAGTTGGAATCGGCTGCGCCATGCTTGGACACCCAAAACAACAAGAAATGGGTATATTAATATCTCTATACCAGGGAATCGCAGGTTTTCGTCCGTGTGTCCTTTTTCTGGGTTCCATTTTGGGTAGCTATTTTTCACCCAGGAGCCCAAATTGAGGAGCCCAGGGGCCCGAAGCGATGCAATATGATCCACATCCTGTCGCGCCATTCTGAAAAATCCCTGCGCATGAGAACCATCCTGGACCTGCCCTAATGGTTTTCCGTCAACCAGCCTCATGCAGAACGCGACTGGGCACCAGATGTCGAAAGATGTGGGGTGGTCTCAAAATATACGAACTCCCCCAAATGGGGCGACCTTTTCCCTTCGACGTGTTTGTTACTGTTGCGGCATGCGAATTCCCCACCCCTTCGAGGCTTGAAGGCTTCGGGAACTACCCGAGTGAGGAAAGCGTTCCCGCTTTCCCAGCTTCCCTCAAGGGAATCAAATCCACAAACCAACCCAACCAGCTCAGAAGTACATGAACCAAAGCAAAGGCTGCCAAAAAACACAGGGCAATGACGTCTAAGAATTGGAACCTTCGGATGCTTGTTGCATGAGACAAACAGCCGTTGTTGGCCCCTGGGAATTGAATCACACAAATCAGCAGGGGTGTTTACAAAGCAGGTTTCGGTACAGTTGTAGCAGCACCTCCCTTCCAGGCATCCAAAGTTGAGGGGAAACAAAAAGGTGATGGCTTCCTTCCCTGGTCGCATCAGTTCAGTGAAACAAATCAATTCACGCTAAAAAATCATCCTGGAACCCCATAAACAGCTGATGTCAACCCCAGGTCTTTGCCATGAACAACTTTTTTTTTGCCCCCCCCCCAACAGGGGGGTGTTTTTTCTTTCTGGTCTCTTCAAAGGTCGGGTCTTGAAAATGTTCATTGGTGTCCAAAGTGGAGTTCATCAGGCTGCTCGGTTTGCCCAAAAGGAGTAGGTACCGGATAAAAGAAAGCAAACGAGGATCAAACACACTATTCCAGGTGGACAAAAAAACAAACAAACAACAAACAACTCTTCCAGGTGGATAAAGAAAACCAAATAGGTGTCAAAAGGAGCTGCGTGACATCAACTCGCGCCTGGCGTAGCTGTTGCAAGGCTTTGTCCAGGCGCCCATCCAACGCCGCCTACGCGTCCCATCCGTTCGTCGTCGACCGAGTGGGAACCAGTGCTCCAAAACGAGACAGAGGCCGTGTCACATGGATACCATGGGTCAAAATCCAAATCGTACCCCCCAGTGAACATCCCAATCCCCACTGAAATAAACTAAAATGGGTGGTGCACCTACTCCTAAATGGTACCATTGGTTTTGACCCACACCCAAATGGCTGTGGGTCAAGAATAGGGTAACCCCCAAAGTGGAAACATGGACCAACACCTGCGGTTCAGTGGTGATTTAATTTTATTCCATACCCAAATTGGATTCCCCAAAAACACAGCCATGTTTTTGTCGGGTTCCATCTTAATCTTGGGTGTACCAATTATGAATTGTATTCCCCCAAAACAACCAACAGTGGACCCTGTTTGTAAAATAGATTGCATATGGGAGGGTTAAATCGTCAAGCACATGTGTGCGTGTTTCGCAAGCAAAGGCTCCCTTTTCGGATGGTTTGAAGGGAAACCAAAACTCAGTTGCCCAAGGACCCAGAACTAAAAGGTTCACCTTTTGGCACCTCTACTAAAAATGGACCAAAATGGGAAAACCAAAAGGTCAAAAGGTCGGCTTTGGACAACCAACAAAAAACCATAGCTGGTATATCTAATGTTGGGAAATATGTATAGCTTGAGCATCCCTTTGCGCCGGCTTTCTCAGGCCTCTTCCAGCTGTTGCTTGACCTCGCGCAAGTTTGGCACAAGAGAGCATTACATCGCCATGGGCTTTGCCCCACACATTTTAACAAAACAAACATGGCCGCCAACATGGAACTGAATTGTTTCTCTCTGAGGGTATTGGGGGCCCTCCTGCGTTTGGTACCGGGGAATTTCGGCTTCCGCGCCGGTGAACTAACAATAGGCCCAGGCTGCCAGGAATGTTCAGGAATGTTCACTTTGAAAGGCACCCCGAAATGTGAACCTTTCCACGCGGAAATGCAGTAGGGACCCTGGCGCGAGTTGGCAAAAGGTTGGCGGGTTGGCGGGTTGGCGGGCGCAGTTGGAACAGCTTCGATTTGTTTGATGTCACATGGGTATGTGCCAAAATAGGGTCCAAGCCATGAAAGAAAAGCCGGCAACGGCGCTTGGTGCTGCGCTTTCTGATTGAAGGCAGCCTGTTGGCCACCCTTCGGTTGGTCAGCCTTGAGCTATAAACATCCTGCCGTGACTTCTTGCCCAAAAAAACAAGATGTGTGTTCAGATGAGACACGACATGTGAGATGGTCTCTATCACTTCACCACCTGACCCATCTTGACGACCCACTTCATTTTGACCAGCAAACTCTTCATGCTGATCAGGTTCTTTTGCTGCGTCTTGGTGACCGTGATGTTATCACCTGTCTACTTGGGGCCTAATGGCATATGCACATGCACGCATGCGCACACCACCACAGAGACACACCCGCACAAACACAATTGAACAAACGCACAAACACACGGGCAGCTGCATTCGCGTAGCGGAACCCACCTCCACCGTGCAACACAAGTGCAGCAAATGCCTAGACCTCATATCGGGACCCCAGGGCGAGAAGAAAAACAAACTCTCTAAACTAGGAGCCTAGAACTACTCAACTAAAATCGGTGCCCCTCGAATTGCTGGTTTAGATTACTTAGATTGGTGGTGTGGCATGGAAGTTAAGTGGAAGCTTCCCATAGATATGCCCTTAAAGCCATCCGAAGCACCAAGTCCGAAATCCCAAAGGTGGGGCTACAATCTTGACTTGGACCCCTGGCATTCCATTTTGGCACCTAGACAAGTCACCATGAACTCCTCTCTGGAGTTCATGGTCACAGTCCGGACTAGAATGCAATAATGCTTTCCTTGGCACACCTCTCAGAATCCATTCTAGAGGCGAGTGTCATGTCTAAGAAATCTCCGGCTCTTTAACGATGATGACCCGACTCCTGCCGGACCATTGGAAGCCCCCGGACTCCCCAAAGAACTCGGAAAGGGACCCGACCAGAGCCACGAGACGGTCCGCTGTTTTGCTTCCGGTTCCCGAGGGTCTCGTGGCGAGTGAAAATCTCAACCCTGGAACATCCCGGATGGACCAAGCTTCCCCCGGTATGCTCCAGTGCTCAGGGTTCTACTTGTTGACTACTGCAGAGACTTAAATCCAGGGGTGCTTCCCCCCAAAACGAGAAACCCTGGGTTTAAGTCTGTCTTGGGGTACTCAAAAAGCAGACCCCCGCTAGTGGTGCTTTTTGAAAAGCACCCAAGCAGAAGCCTCCCATGGACAAAGGCGTGCGTCGCCATGAACAAACATCCAGTGAAGCTGACGGACTGGCTGCTTTGCTTTTGGTGAAGCTCCCCAAGTCCATTGTGAAGAGGCTAAACTCACTGGCTGAGTGGATGGCCCAAAAAAAGTCCAAACTTTTTCTGTACCACTAAAATGGTCCTCCTGCCAAACAGTTTAAAGTTCATGAACTCAGGAAGTGAGTAAAAAGTCGACAATCCCCAAGGTGTCTTGTTTCCGGGACGCCTTTTGGGAAAGCCAAAGGTCTATGTTTCAAGATCCGAGGGCTTCAGCTTCCCATCCGGCGATTGGAAACAACACATGTGGTAGCAAACCAGTGGAGCTCCGAGTTGGAACTTACCACAGAGGGTACCCCATCTGTACCCCATATTTGCGGGGTTTTGGGTTTGGTTCAAGGGGATTCGGTAGGTGCAAAATCCTGACATCCGCCAAAATATTTGAGGCACCAAGGGACCCGGGTGATCCAAGCTTGGGCTTGAAACCACGCCAAAAATCACCCGCCTTGGAACGCACTGCGGCGAGGCGATCCTGCAAGGCAAGTTGCTTCCCATGAACGATGCGGTCGGCTCAACGCGGTCGACGGTGGAAACTGGGGTTTCGTGGATCGCAAAAGTTGGTAGCTGGATGCACCCCCAGGATTCATAGGGCCTCATGCATCCCAACTGGTGCAGTTTGTGCGCTTTGTCCATCCACGCTTTTAGAGGGAACCCACAAAACACCCTCCGTTTTTTTCTGCCCGAGGTTGGTCATTGTGCTCGGAGCAACCCTGAGCCTGTAGCGTCCCGCTCCACTCAACCACTCAGGCGCCCTGAAAAAGAAAAACAAAAAAACGGTCTGTTGGGTACCTGCATCTCTTGAAAGTTAATAATTCCCACTCCAAAAAGAAAAAAGTAATTTCTTCCATGCTGGAGTGATAATTTTCACTCCGTGTTAAAATGCCCGTTCGGGTAGTTCCGACTGCTCAGGCATCCGTTCGGACCCGTTCGGAACCCGTTCGGACCCGTTCGGAGGTACGTAAAAAATACGCCAAATTTACGTAATAAGCCTTTGATAATTTATGTGCAGTGCTGATTTATGAACACTTCGATGGTAGTGAAAATATCCGTTCAAGAGTAGAAATACTCGTTCGAAAGTGGACATACCCGTGTCCTCAGGCCAAAAAGTACTTTTTCAATTTTGGAGTAGGAATTCTTAACTTCCAGGAGATCCAGGTATGGTCACGAGCTGGATTTCGCCCATCCACCGTAGTAAAGGCAAAGTTTTCTAGCTAGGCAGCTCTTTTGCCTCAACTTTTCGCCAACTTCGCCATCGCACTCCAGACTCGCGCTGTCCTGCGGCCTGACATTGCGGAGGGCCTCGTGGAGACGGCCGTCTTCGGCGGCCTGAGGCCACGGGGAAGCCGCGCTCTCAAGTTGATTCTCTGCCCAAAGCCTAGGTCCTCCAGTAGAGGACCTGGAAGTAGCGCCAGGCGAATCAACCACGTAGTCAATGACAAGGCTGGGGTTCGAATCCCGTGGGCTGCTGTGTCAAAAAGCTAGGTCCTCCAGATTTGAGAGGTTGGAAAAAGTTGGTACCTACTTTTTTTGGGTAGTCTATTTTAGTAGTGGGACCCTCCCGACCAAAAAAGGGTTGAGAAAGGGCACCAGCTGGGGGACCTAGGTGGGGAGCCATTTGCCATCGCTTTTTGAAAGGAACTCGCTAGCACTGAAGGTCTGGGAGCCACATCTGCCCTTGTATCTGTGCCTACAGCTGTGCAGTGCGTGACTTTAGGTTCGGCGGATAGGGCGGAGGGGTAAGCTTGGTGGGCGTGTTGCCTTCCTGCAAAGCTAAGCTTAACATGTGTTCTACAAACTCAATGCAAACATCGAGTCATGCTTCAGCGCATGTGTACATTTGGTGGTGTTGATGTGCCTTAACTCAACCATACCATGACCATCTGTCTGCCGCAGCACCCCTCGAAGCATCTTTCTGCACGCTTCAGCAACGCTTTGGTACTCCCAGTGTTGCCTACTGAACATTCTCTTCATTTAATTCCAAGCTTGCAGCCAAGAACCGGCAACCTGTGAGGACAGCCATAACCAAACCACCGCCACACAACACGGCAACAACAACCACCACAACAACAGCGCCAGCAGGCGAACGAAAACAGACTTATTGGAACAAACACGGGAATTGCCGCAACGTCAACGACAACGACACAACAGGCGGCAACAGTGAACACGGTGAAGCGAGCTCACCCATGAATGTACCTCAGGGATTCTTGAACTCGGCTTGGTGAAGTATCCTTCCTTTCAAATTGCGGTAAACCCCGAACAGGAAACAAGGGAAGCCCTTGTAAAAGGACCTTCATCATGGGTGCCCAACCAAGGAGCTGAGTATGTTTTTTTCCGTAAAAGTAAAGCCCAGGTGGCGGACGTTAAAAGAACGCTATGCTTGGAGCACGCTTCTTTCCCCTCTCTCTTCCCCTCTCTCTTCTTCTTCTTCTTCATCTGTTTTCTCTTTATCTTTCTCGTTCTCTCTCTTGCTCTCTTTGTCTTCCTCGTGCTCTTCATCATCCCCTTACTATTGTTCTTCCCTTTCCCGCTCTCTTCTTCTTTTTGCTCTTCTTTATCTTGCTCTTTCTCTATGTGTCCTGTTCCTTCTCTCTTGTGTTCTCTTCCTCTTTCTTCTTTTTGTGTTTATCTTCATTCTTCTTCTCTTCTTCCTCGTTCTCTATTTCTGCTTATCTTGTTCCTTCTCTGGTTCTTTCTTGTTGTCTTCTGCTTTTCTCTCTCTATCTCTGTCTCCTTCTCTTTCCCCTTGTCTTTCTCTGTGCCTTCCTCATTCCATCTTATTTGTTGTCTTTCGTCCTCCTCTTGTTCTAGTCGCGTTAGGTTCTTCTTCACCTTATGGATCTTTCTCTGCTTCTTACGCTTATTTAGCTGCCTCGTCCTCTTTATCGTTATCTTCCTCTGTATTCCTGTTTTCGTTTTTTCTTCTTCTTTGTCTTTTGCTTTTTTCCTCTCTGCTTCTCTCTCTCTCTCGTTCTTTTTGTCTCTCGTTCTCTTTCTCGTCCTCTTCACTTTTGCTCTTCTCTTTCTCTTATGTATTATTGTCTTTCTCTTTCGCCTTTCTTCTTGTCTTTCCTCTTTCGATTCCTTCTCTTTCTCTTCCTTTCGCTCTTTCTATCCTTTTCTCCTGCCTCTCTCGCTCTCTCTCTGTCTCTCCAGCGCACAAAGGCGAAGAAAAGCAAACCGCGAGTTGTTCGACGCTGACCCGCCGAGAGTCCGCCAACCAAGTGACACACGCGCAGAGAGAAGACGAGCAACTTCGAGGCCGACCCACCGAAAGTCCGAAAAGAGTTGCGCTTTTTGCGCCGCGAACATCGTTCAAACTACGTGGAGAGTTGACCCACCCAAAGTCCGCTCCACTTTCGCCCTTGAGCGGCTGTGCCAAAAGGCCCGTCTCCGAAGAATATGGTCCGACTTGATCACGCCCAGAGACAACTCAACAAAATCCACTACGGGCCACTTGCTGAAGGGAACTTCCCCAAGCCGGAGCACGGGATGCTTCAACTGCTGCAACAGCTCTAAACCTGAAAAGATCTTCATAGTCAGCTCGTTTCATCCCCTGCCCCCAAAACAACAAAAAATACTTGATTCCCATAAGGGACATTCGATCAGGGCTGATCCCCCGACTTTTGGTAGGACACTCAAAGCTCCTCCCCCGTGTCACGAAGCCGTCCACCAAATTGTTGACCATCTTGAGGGCATATTATGGGTGTGGCCGTGGCCGATTTCAGGTCTTTTCCCCTCTTCTCCTTGAAATCTGTTGAAATGTGGACCAAACCTCGGAACCCCGTGCCTCCATCAAGGTTTGCGCAACGCGACTCCTGATGCCCAACTCCACCTGAACGCGCCGTTTGGTACCATGGCTAAGGCGCTACAATGCCGATAGGTGGAACCAACTGAGACGATGGCCCTGGCGGCTTTGGGTGCTGCTCATGAGACCACACAAGAACAGGTAGAACTGTAGAATTTCCAAACGCACATGGACGCGCGCATGCGTGGTGTCCTTTAACTGCTGCGACGTTTGAGGGGGAATCTGGGGAGCCCTGTGATCTGTTCGGTTTCCTTTCATCATTCCAAGAAGGCGGGCCATTCTTCTTGTTTCTTCTGTGCTTTCGGTTGGACCCAGCCCAAAAGGGGCAAGAAATGATCCACTCGCTTGCGATTTCCCATAGAACATCATAGAACCAACACCTCACGTACCAGGCGCCTGGAAACTCCCAAAAGTGAAGGCTGGGCGACGACTTGAAAATCAAAACGCGGCAACGCCCCAATGCCAAAGACTAGTTGGTGTGACGCGTGAGATTGGACAGATTCCAAGAGTACGCCTGGGTAAATAACCTCGGTTGCTTTCTGCTCCCCTGCTAAAAGTTTAACTTTTAGTGGTTTAGTGGAAAACCCATTAGTTGGCAAAAAATAAATAAAGTCCTAACAGCCAAGCAAAATGCACCAAAGTAATTGTTGGAATCACTCCACTAGAGTTCAAGGTGCCATTGGTGAACCATCCACCAACCCCGGCAATGCCTCGTGAGCTTGCCCCAAATCCCCTTTCCCCCCCCCCCCCCACCTCATTCGCCGGGCAAATCTTTGCCAGCACTCTTTCAAGCTCCCCGCTGTCGGCTGCCTGACACTTTGGCTCACTTCCTGAGTAAGTCCGGGAGCTCAGGGAGGGAGTTGGCTTCGCAACACTAGGACCTGCGGAGAATCTGCAATATGGGCTTAGGTTGTTGTGAGGGCTACCTTTTTGCCTCCCTTCAATTGGGAATTGAGAGAAAAAACAACAAACAATTTTGGGGATCCCCATATTTATATGTCCAACACCTGCAACAAGGGATCCTGCGCTTGCATGTTGGTTTTTTGCTTCTTAGTCATTTCTGTCGTAGTTTTCGCTCATCTCTTGGTCGAGTTGCAAAACCTGGCCCAGATCAGTCTCTCTCAACTCAACTCACCTCAACTCAACTCGGCTCAACTCATCCTCGACTCAACTCATCCTCGACTCGACTCAACTCGACTCCACTGCCAGCTTTTTCGCGGAGCCGCTAGCTTTTTGAAAATGGCGGTTTCAGCTTGCCGGGACATACTTGCCTTGTTCATAAGGAACAGAGGGGTACGCTGTGGGCCCCAATGTGTTTTTCCATATGAAATGGTTGTCTTTGCAAACGTGCAAACAGGAAATGACAACTTTGTGGCTTGGACATGCTGGTTTCGTTCAGCATGTGAAACTCCATTGCCAATTTTATTGTGCCTGCATACCCTTCCCGACGGAGGAGTGGAAAGCGCGCAGCTGGTTAGCTGGTCACACAGGTACCCCTGTTCCATCTTATCAGGGAATTGCGTGGGGGGTCTTTTCCAGACAACTGTATGTAGCTTTCTAACAACCCTTCTGCCAGCATCCATGATTGTTGGAAAGACGGACACGGCAAGTGATCACGTAAAAAGCCCTGTAATCCAGGCATGAGTCATGTTCGGGCCCCAACAACTCTGGTCAGACTGAAGCAAAGTCGGCTCCAGCTTAACTCTGGTCAGACTGAAACCAAGTTGGCTTCAGTCTAATTTTAGCCTCGCAAAAAGACGTCCCCTATTTTGCTTGAGGAACTGCCATGTTTGCTTTGGATTGGAAAGTTGCTTTTCACCATTTGACAGGCATCTCATTCACACGGTCGGATTGATCTCCGCCAACCGCCATTGATGTGGTCTTGGGAAAACCAAAACCCTACCACTCAAGTGCTCAACCCCATGCGAACCGCTGTTTCTCACTTGGCCAAAGGACCCAGAAATGAAAGGCCACAAAACATGGACCAAAGGGGTTTCACCAAGAGGTCAAAAGGTGAAATTTCGCTTTGGGCAAGTGAGGTGCAGTGAGACTCTTGCTTTCTTTTCTAACAAACATCCAACCAAAAGCTTAGTCTCTAAAGATCCAAGCAAATAGCAGCCAAGGCAAAGCCAGAAGGCCGGGGTCTTGCGGGGAAGGGTCCCAGATCTCAGAAGCCGGCAAGCCTTCTTGAATTTAATTTGGAAGCCCCCTGCAAAGAAAGAATGATTGGGGCCTTTTGGAGAAACTAGGGGAAGCTTGGCGTTGGGGGCGCAACCCGTGCTTTCCAGTTTGATTTTGAAGGGCGCTTTGTTCCTCAAGGAGAAAACGGCTGGAATCCAGCGGTTGCAGGGCGAGAACCCTATTGACCCTATGCCACATTCATGGAACCCATGTGAGTCATAATCAAAACCCGGTATCAACATGGTCTACCCAGAAACCACTAAAGAAGTAAGAAGGCGGATATCCGCAGCAACTTATAAAAAAGTTTGGGATTCTCCCTTAACCTTCATCTCCCGAATCGAATCGGTTTTGAGCACGTGGCTCATGTGTTACGCGTACAGCTTCCCCGCAAGAATCAAAAGAAAACAAACACCCGTTCACTTCCCTCCCATCGACTGCCCCTCGACTGCCCCCCCGAAAAAAAAGAAAAAACAAGAAAAAAAAACAAAGAAGGAAACAACAAAAACAAAACATCGACTGCCCCTCGAATTCGACTTCGATCCTGGGCCAAGAGGTGCGCCGTACGCTTCTGCACCTCCGCCAACGTCTCCTTCAGAAGTGCTGTGAGTCAAACCGCTCGCTTGCGAGGCTTGGAGATGTTCGCGGCCAAAAAACCCTTGGCCCACTTCGCTGGTACGAAAAAATCATGCGGATTCCATATCTGGTCAACGTGACCTAGACGTTGGAGGGGGAGCAAAAAATTAAGTCTTAGCAGTTCAGTGGGGATTTCAGCCACTAAACCACAATAACGAAAATATGTAAAATGTGTCCCAACAACAACCATGAACATGACTATGGGCTATTCTTTTTGGTGGATGAAAAGGAAACCACCAGGAACGCCCACCATTTTCGGGGTTTTTCCCGAAACCCCGAAACTTCACACGCACCGCAGATCTTTCTGAGACCTCCGGAAACAAAAGGAAACCCCCGAACACAGTTCACTGTTTGATCCTCCAATAGCTTGAGTCCCTGGGAGAAATGCAAACATGTCCAGTAGTGAAAGAGAAAAAACCTTGAACACCAATCCAGCAGAGTAAAAAGGCATCCTTTAAAACCAATCCAGCAGTGAAAGAAAATCGGTTAAAACAAAAAAACAAGTCCGGCAACATAAATAAGCAAATAGGAAGTGCTACACACCCTTTCCGGTTTCATTCGTTGCCTATCCGGAGATGAATAATTCAATCAGATCCGGCTGGGTGTCCTCAGAACCCACCATTTTGGGGGTCCCCCAAAAAAGACACAGCCAACTGGCAAATTAGGGCAACTCGAATGTTTCCTGCCCTTCACTTTTCTCGATCATGAACCCCTTCGGGACTTACCAATTGTTGTAGGTTCCCATGACTACATTCTCCCTTGCTGTGTCACAGAAAGTGGCTCTGATGCTCACTTGTCCAAAAGCATTGCCATGCATCCGCCTGATCTTCCAACCACTACGAAGCAAACTGGGCTTAAGCTCTTTTGTTAAGGGAACCCTCCCCGCAGAACAAACCACCCATGCGCTCAAGTGGGACCTCGTCGCTATTTGCATCGAAACGCCTCAGGGTGAACAATCCCTCGTTAAGAAAAGATGTTGGAAGCAATGGATGCCCACAACTCGCGAGAAGTGTTAGGACCTGCTCCTGACAGCTGATGGCCAAGGGAAATGCTACCGGATGGAACCCATCTTGCACCGGGGTTGCTTCTCAAGCACCAAAACCACGAGAGCCTGCCCGTTTGTTTTTGGTCGCCCACAGGTTCCAATCTGCCCCATGTCCTTCCGAGGAGATGCCTCGGCCCATGTCGACACGAAGGAGGCTCTAGATAACGGTTTGCATGCGGCGAATCTGTGGGTTCATCCCCGTAGAAAAGGAAACAAGCACAAAAAGATGACGAACAAAGGACCAACAAGGCGAAAAACAAAAAAAACCACAAAGAGCACATCCACATTGTCTTCTAGGAGTGTGGCAAATAGTTGCTTCTTTTTTCTGAACGAACACAAGGAGTCGGGGGGGGGGAACACCGGACGACTCCCGGAGATCCGATTTTTCAACGAATTGGTGACCCCTTGTTTAGGTCTGCACCAAAGGAAGTTATAGCAGAGCTTCATGGTGGACCCGACATCTGTGATACCAACATGGGTCATTCGCATGAGCAAAGCTCTATCACTTTGAAAGGGACACCAAGTATGAGCTCGTTTCGCAACTTTTCAACAAGACAAAGGAAATCTACTCTGTACTTGGAGGTCCGAAAAAAGAACTCCAACATGGGAATGTTGGGTTTTCGGGAGGGAGCCAAGCTTTAATTCGCATTTTTTTGAACACCTCCACGTTAGGAGGGGTTTTCCATTTACCATGACCATCCAAACCATCCAACACACCTAATTGGCTGCCTGAGGGCCGGAAACCTGGAAGGAATCACACAATCTCAGTGGCATTGGCTCGCCCCCTTTTTCTTCGATCCGCACCCGAATCAAATAGGCGGAGTCGGGTTTGAGCGGATCTCTGCTTGTTTCAGGAAAAATGGGCATGGATCAACACGGCAATTTCCAAAGTGGCGCGTTTCCCCCTGATTTCCCCTCAAAACCAAGCTTTCCTCAAACAAACCTCACCTCAATTCCGTGGATTGGCCAAAACAAGTTCTGAACTTTTCTCCACTTGCCATGGCTCCGAACCCAAAAAACTAAGTACAGACTCCATAGCAATCCATCCCATCCATCCCATCCCATCCACCACAGACCCTCCACCCTCATGCCCAAAACCAGCCCCAAACCCCAAACCCTCAAACCCAGACCGGGTGAGCTCGCGAAATCCGGGCTCGCCGGCTCGGCCGGCGCTCAGCTCCTGTAGGACCTTCTGCAGCTGGCCACTCTCTGCAGCCTCGCCAGTGGGTCATGTCGGAAGAAACCCTTCTAGGTCCTCCAGTAGGGTTTAGGGTTTAGGGTTTAGGGTTTAGGGTAGTACTCAGTAGAGAGGTTAGAAAAAAATGGTACAGACTCTTTTTCGGTTTTGTCTATTTTAGTAGGGGAACCCTCCCCCCAAAAAAAGGTCAAAGGGCTCTACTGAGAAAACCTAGCGGATGAAGAAACCCCTGTTGTATCATCTGGGGGGTGGTGTTAAAAAGTGGCCTGAATCCCCCACTACCAGAAAACAACCCCAGATTAATCAATGTTTGTTAATCTGGGTCAACATTACCCTCCAAAGTGGTTGGTGGACATAGACCCCCATTTATGGTCCTAAACCCAGATGTTTGCAATTTCTGCCATGAATTCTATCTATCAACCTTCATCGCGGCGTTCGCTGGTTTCTCAAATATGTGGAGCCACATTTTCAGCATCTCAACTTAGGGCAGATTCACAATGGCTTGGGCGAGGGATGCTAACCCCCGAGCGACAAACAACGTTCGTCACGAACGTCTCTGGCGCTGGGTGCTATGTCTCAAACCAATGGGGGGTTCTGTGCGAGTCTTGTCTGGAGGGTTCATCAGATCTTGCCAGATGAAAGCGTTGGCTTGCTCGACATTCCAAAGCCACGCGGAGTAAATAACTCTGTCCCCAAACCTGCGTCTAACCCCCCAGCCGCAAACACGTTCCTCAATTTGCGTTTCCGCCCCCTGGGGAAAAAAACAACAACAACCAATATTTTCTGTAGTTTCTAGATTCCCTTTAAAACCACAGAGGAAAATAAAACCAACTTTCTTAAGCAAGCGGAAGCGTTGTAGCGCCGAAGCTCTTTGAAGACGTCTTGGGAGAGCAGTTTCATGCTCGGTGGGTTTAAGAGGCGTCCGCCACGAAGTGAGCAAGAACTGCTGTCAGAACAGGGTCTTTTTCATCCCACCATCAATCCAAGAAAGGGCAACCTGACCTATTGCTGGCGCGGCCAAAACGGGACACCCATTTCCGGGTTGGTGATCAGAGAAACCCAAGGGACAACAATCCAATTTCGGGACCCGGTTGCTTTTTGCTCCCCTGCTAACAATTTAACTTTCAGTGGCTTAATGGAAAACCCATTAGTTGGCAAAAAGTTAAAGTCCTAACATCCAAGCAACATGCGCCAAAGATAATATACCCATATGGCTATTCCCCTCTCCCCAGTTTTGAGTACAACGCCATGGCCTCCTCCAACAACTTGGCCGCCTTGTCTCTGGAAGACAAGCCCTGCGAAGGTGCTTCGGACAGAAACCCTTCAGAGCTCCAGCGGGGTTTAAGAGGGAACGAACTTCCAGGGGTTGATTTCTTGTCTAGGTCCCCCAGTAGTGCCCTTGTACCAACTTTTTTGGGGGAGGGTTCCCCTACTAAAATAGACAAAACCGGAAAAAGTTGGTACCAACTTCTTCTAACCTCTCAAATCTGGAAGACCGAGTTGTCCATTCTTTTCGGGCATTGTTCAACCCCAAAAACCGGCTCCAGCCGCTTTCAACCTGGATTTCTGGAGGCTCTCTAGAAAGATTCGGGTCCATGGGTTCAGAATGGGGAAGGTGCCCCTGAAAAACTACCCCAGCCTCTGAAAAGCCAAAGATGCTGACAGAAGTCCACTTCCATGTTGGAAAGAAGGCGACGAGTTTACGCTGTACCAAATTGGACTTGTTTCAGCATTCCGTGCAAAGCTGGGGTGGGTTGGTTGGAGGTGAAGTGGCTTCCCGTTGCTACTCAAGGGGTTCAACCCCCAACCGAATCCACCAACGGGGTTGCCTGATAGCTGATCTTCAAGGAACCCCCCTCCAAAGAGAAACAAGGGACCACTCTGTGCTTCATTTGAATGACCTGGCATGCGCCTGGGATGGTTGGCTAGAGAAATTGGTTGAGAGTGCTTGATATTGAAGAGAACCCCAAGCTGGGCCGCGTTTCAGGGAAGGAGCAACGGCCTCCTGTTGGTTTGCTTGAGCAACCTCCCCAAACAAACCAGAAGGAGGGAGGGGAGGGGGAATGAGGGGGTCCTCCAAGCAAGTCCTCCAAGCTGGCGGGTAGGGCTTCTGTGGGCGTCTTGAAATATAAAACACCACGAAAGACCAATAGCGAATAATAAATAATAGGTCATAGGTCATCTGGAAGAACCGCCATATTCTGTCAAAGGATGCCAGCTGTATCCCTCCCAAACGTACTTCTACATCCCCTCAGCTATATGATTGATATTTCCCGTTAAGTGGGGTGCATGGTAATTGCTGCTTTTGTGCAAATGGCTATGTCATATGTCAACACGGCCCTCTACATGTAATCCTCTTCAGTTTCGTGCTCACGCGCCATCCTCGAAGGGTGCCCAGCTCTCACCCAGCTGCTGTAGATTAAAGAAGACTTTCCGTTTTCTGCTTGACAGCAGGGCAACCCAGCGCTTACCAGAAACACGACATGAAGAAACTGGGCTGTCTGTCCTCAGATCCCCCGCAAAAAAAGTTTCGCTTTTAGTGGGTTGAATGGAAATCCCCACTAAACACTAAAAAGCCAAAAAGCTAAGGAACTGGATGGCTGGGAGCCACCAAGGAAAGTCTTGAACCCAGCAACCAACCCACTCAGATTACGAGCGGATTGGTCGAAATCCAACCTATTTCACACCCCACAAGCAAGCAAGTGCTCACCTCCAGCCATGGTTGAACAAGGCAGCTAATTTTTCGTGGTAGTCGGTTAAAGGGACATGTTCAGAACTAGTTAGTATCACAAATACATAAATATAGGATACCAAAAATCAATATAGGAGATGAACAATAAAACACAATTCCATTGGTTAACTGTAAACAAGAAACATTACTTCTATCGCCTCGCTTGGGTGCCAAGCTGAAGATCTGTCGTTCTTCACCTCCTGGACTGCTCGTTGCAGGGCGCCACTGTCAGCAGCCTGCAGAGAAAGAAGCCGCCAGCTGTTTGGGCGTAGACAAATGAGCAGAGACTGCCTTTCACCCGGTGCGCCTTGTTCCCCGATGGCGACGCCGGATTTGGGGCCAGGTTTATGAATTGAATCATTGGATATCATTGGCCACCCTAGGCTTCAATTTGAAGTGGTGTGGGAGCCTCCAGTTCACTGCTCAGCGACTTGACAAGTCGCCGAGACAGGGGCCTATCGTGTCCCTCCATTTGCTTAAGTCCCCTGGAAAAAATACAAATAATTCCAGTAGTGATAGATTCCCTTCAAAACCAACAGAGGAAAACAACAAATATTCTTAACCAAATGGAAGTGTCTGACAGAGCTTCCACTCCCAATCATTGCCCAAGAGGAAAACTGAGGTATGCAGCCAGCCCTCCGATGACAAACTCTGTCTCTCATCATGCGCCTCGTTTGGGCCCAGCGAGGTTTAGCTCAAATGGGTCTGGGACAAAAAACAAGCACCAGGAAGTGGACCGCAGGTTTTAGTCCATGTGTGCACAGGGCAACCCATGGGGTTAACCAATGTTTGACCCGAATTGGCTCGCCTCTTCCAAGAGTTGGGCAGCTTTCAGGCGGATGCCGTCCTTGGCCTGCCGTTCCTGGCGAGGAGCGAGAAGCGACTCTCGGAACTCAGTGGTCTGCAGGAGGTGTCGTTTTTTCAGGGTAACCCCTAAACCAAGAGGAGAACCCATTTGGCTGTGGGTCAAAAATAGGTACCCAAAATGGAACCTTGGTAAATGGAAACATGGACTAACACCTGTGTTCCCTGGTGTAATTTTGACCCACACCTTATTTGAGGGTTGCGGGGAGGGTCCCCCCATAAACAAGACACACCTATTTGCCTTTGGACAAGCTTGGCCTACCTCCCGGAAAACCAAAACTCGGGTACCACGAGCGTGCGATGGTTAGCGAGAGGGGACAGCCACAAGTAGTAGTGAATGCATGGCGGTGAAAGAGTGTCAGACATGGTTCAATGACCGAGGTGTGTTTAGCAACAGACGATGAGAACAGATGTTTTGACTGGTGTCACGGAAAGGTCACTTGTAAATAGTTAATCCAGCAGACAGAGCATGTGACTGGGAGTTGACGTTATGTTTGCGAGGCCGGAGGATGCAAAAGCAGACCAGATGCGGAAGCACTCAATGATGATGCAAGACATCACTTGCCCAAACACAGCAAGGTGGTCTACTCAATTCTCCACATAAGTCCAACTTGACGGTGCTGCATTTCTCGCTTTCCAACCGCCCAACTTGCCTTCCCCAACCGTTCTCCAAGAACTGTTTCTGTGTTGAAAGACACGTCCCATTGAAATTAATATTATCATTCTGCCCCTTGCCGCCCCCCCCCCCCCCGCTCGCCCAATCTGTATGGGTCTGCAATCTTGAGATCCAGAAACGCATGGGCATGCACTGAATTGCAGCAGGCTCAAGCAGCTGTAAGTGGCGATTGTTTGTTGCTCAAAGTGTGTCTAAGCAGTCCTTGTTACAATTCTAGGGGAAGCTTCCCCATTCTCTCCAGGGATCAGGCTGGGGAGCCACCAAGCAATTTCACACCTTCCAATACCGGAACCAAAGCCATCAGGCTGCTGAACCAGCCAATGTATGATGGCATTTGGTCGTTGCCGGTACGCGAGAGGCACATTCAGTTGACCATGATTCACCCCCTCCAAGTGGTACTATAAGGGACACTAAGGTTGTTTTCTTCGTTGGCTATGGAGATGTCCATACACATTCATGGAATGATATGAGGCCTTTGGACCCCTGTGTCGAAATCAAAGGGACACCTTAGTGCCAAGAACAAAGGGGGCCCTTCAATTGTAGTAAAAACAAAGGGCAAAAAGCAAGCCCTCACAGAATGCAATGCATCTGAGCTTGCACACGTTTCTTGTTGATGATACTGCGCAAGTAGTCTCAAACAGCCTGTGAGCAGTCAAACTTGCATGATACTTGTTCGTGCGGCGAACAACGGCCCAAACTAGACCAACCTATTCAAACACACGTATGATGACAATGAGCATTGTATCACCAGCAGCTAAGCTGATCCATGGCTTTTGGGTGTTGCTTTGAGGGCTTCCGTACAAGTCAGCTGCTTGCGGGCGGATATTAGGCGAAAGTTACCTCATCCAGCCTGAACAAAACCTTATACACCTTGACCCCTTTGACTTCGTGCCTGCAACAGCACGCCACATGTGCACCGCGCAGCTTGAAGGAATGTCCCGTGATTGTTACCAAGAAGGTTTTATAAGGTGTTGTCCAGGCTGGATGGGGTCACTTCAGCCCAATATCCACCCAATGAAACATCCTAAAGCCATGGATACGCGTGATGTTCCCCAAGCTCGCCATGCAGACCCGAGCCACGTGGCATCCGGTCCTTCTCAATCTTCAGGTCAGAAACCACCCGCTCCAAGGAGCCATCGAACGCAGCCTGCACAAGGGAAGGCCACGCTGGCGTTTTGCACGGTCGGTGTGTGAATCACGTCTCCCTTGCGAGAAACCCGAGTGCTCTGCACATTCTCAATGCTTTCAATTCTTGATTGATCGGGGGGGTTGATGAACATCCCCTATATCCCAGCTGAAATTACGTTGCTTCCATTTGCTTCATGTCACCCAAAAAGCAAGCATTTCTAGTCAGAACCGCTTCCCTTTAGAAGACAACCGGGGAAATAGCAAACCAGGAAGTTGCGGAAACACAGGCAACCGACGGGGATACACGAACATGACATCCCATCGGTCCGGATTCCGTGTTGAGCTTCTTGTCTTCGTATGCTCTTCATCATGCTTGAAACCACCTCACAGAAATACAGGACTTGCAAACAAAAGCTGCTAGTGGATGAAACCCTACAAGCACTGGGATAAATCATGTACCAACTGGTGCGAAGTGGATTTCGCCCACAGTTTGGCAACCAAAAGATGAAATTGCAACATTTACAACACACGAATCCAAAATCTAAACGAGCCAAGGTAACGCATGTCTCTTTCTCTTGGTGCCCGTCCTGATGTGACTGAAGCTGTCCACAGATCCATGTCGCCCAACAAGGAAAACACGGAAAATACGGCAAGAGGCGCTGAAAGGGGAAGGGGTTCCCATGTTAGTGGGTGCCAACCCACCGGAGGGTTTTCTCTGAAATCCTATATATATATATATTGAAATATGAAAACCAACATGAGGAACTTCAATATAAGCACGGCTGGCTTGAATTCAAAACAAACACCGGTTCTGGTGAAGGAACCACCGCGATTGTATATACCCACCACTCAAGTGCCAATATATCCTTGTAACTGTGTGAGTCTAACGGCTGTGGCTCAACAACATGTACCAACATGGCACCTTGGTAAATGGAACCAAAGACCAAGACCTGCGTTTCCCTCTCTCTTTAGTTTTGAGCCACACCCAAACGAGTGTCTCATGGCTGGGTCTGGCATTTTTGTTCTCAAGACACAGCCTCCGACAGTCGGAGTTCCAATCTGAGCCGAAGCGCCTCCAGCAGAGACTCCCGAGCTGCTTCGCGGATATTCGCCACATCATCCTGAAAGAGCTAGGGATGGTATGCCACGTCTGCATCGTGTTAAGGGTTTAAGGTTTGGGGTGTATGGCTTAGAGTTTAAGGTTTAGGGTTGAAGGTTTAGGGTTTAGGGTTTAGTTGACTTCATTCAAATTGTACGACTCCTTCAAGGCCTTTGGGGCTTCGGGAGTGCTGCGCCGTGGATGGTTGCGAAATCCGTGCGCACCAAATTGAAAACATGGGAAAGCAGTGCCTTGGTCCTCCAAGGCCCACAAAACCAGGGTCCTTCTTGATTTTGATCTTGGCTCCAAGTGGAAATTCGGCCAAAGGCCTGCTTTTCCAGGGTCCTGGAAGATCAAGGAGTGATTGTTTTTTTCTCAGGAATTCCTCCTCCTATGTGCGATTTCTTAGGAATTTCTGAAGAATTTTCTTAGGCATTTCTTGGGAATTTCCTATGGGATCAAGGAATTGTTTTTTTATGTGCGAAATGAATTTCGTCATATTTCATGTCCTCCGGCTCGAGCTGGCCCAAGCTCACTTCTGACACAGCGCGGCCAGGAGTCCGCTGCGAACGGATCCAACCATTCGCATCGCTTTCAAGGTCCTCCAGTAGAGAGGTTAGAATAGGGGGACCAACTTGTTTTTTCAGTTGTCCATTTTAGTAGGGGACCCTCCCCCCAAACAAGGGGTCAAAGGGCATTACTGGGGGACCTAGGATTTCAAGGTCCTGGAACGGTTTCAATTAGGTTCGGGCTGAGTTGTTCAGCGACTGTTGATTAATAAAAAAAAGGCAGGGGAAGGTGGCAACACCGAGTCCTCTTCCGTTCGTTTGCACATCTCTAATCGCCACTGGCGGTCAGAGCAGACAAAAGCGCTGACGACCGAAGAGGTCGCGATATGTCCATTGCGTGGAGTCAAGAGATGGAGCCGCTGCGTGCCAGCGTTTGGCAACTGCTAGATTCGAATCCACAGCTACAATATAATATGCGTTTTGATGTGACCCTTCTCAGAATATCTTTTCAGGTGGAGATACATGGGCAAGGGAAACGACAGCAACAGCTCCGAAGCTCGGTGCACCTCTTCCCATCTTATGAAGTCCTTGGAGAACCATGTGCTTCTATCTAATAACCCAACAAGTTGCGACTCGTCAAGTTGTCAAGTTGATCTGGGCCCGCACAGCGTGCGGGCTTGGCAAAATTGAATTTGTTCCTTTGAAGAGTGCTTCAGTCGTTGAAAGTCAACGCAGAAGTGCTAGGTTAAAGGGAAACCCACTTTCTGACTTAACCCACTTTCTGACTTGGCCCCAGATACCGTCAAACAATGACACCACTTATTTACTTGAAACGAGCCTTGTAAAGCAAGTGTGTGCTGTTTGTGGCCGACCCCACTACCTCGAAATGTAACATTTGAAGTGTTTCATTAGTGCGGGCGTGATTACAATACAGGGCGGGTGGAGATCAGACACGAACTTCTGCTGCAAGGTCCTGATAGACCATCGGCTCGCCCTGGCAAATGAAGAAAATAAAACATACCGAGCCCTCGCGGGCAGGACTGGGCACGGAAGAAACAAATGTTGGACACGCTTTAACGGCAGTAGCCTGTATTCTGTATTGGGTCCAGAAAACTGGTTCGGCAGATAACATTTATCCAAGCCTTTCAATGCCCGGCCAAGTTGCACATTGCCTTTGCTTTTTTGAAACTGGGACTCAACGGGTCGGATCTCTGAAGCAAAGTGCACGCGACGTTCGATGGTTCAAGCTTGCGCCCTGGACCTATGGATTGCTCACCTCTCAAGCTTTTGCCACGTCTCCGCCTAGATTCCCGTTTGCCACCAGAAAAGGGAAGCCATGCTTTTTGGGACGGACTTGAGACGAATCAGGAGCAAAGTGAGGGAAAAGGAAGGTCTAAGAGGACCGGTTCGGCCCATTCCAGGAGGGAAGGTCAAGCAAGTGACATGGGAACCATGGGATTTCCCCGTCGTTGGGTAAATCAATGGCTGTCAATCGTGTGCCCCATGTCATTCCTTCAGCAAATGGTGGAGGCTCGAATCACCCGAGGATCTACTGGACTTTTTGATTGCCGAAAAATCGCATCACGTTGAGCTATCAACCCCTGTATATATATTTTGTTGGGGGGGTATCCCTAAAATTAGTAGGGAACCAGATCATTTTTTGGGGCCAAACACCACCCCCCTCCCCCAATTTGTCTGTCGAAGCATGGGCCCATGTCAATGTGGTGACTGATCAAAACTCCAGTTAGGGCCGCCAGGTTTGACCATGGGTAACACTTTTCCTATTCAGTTGCAAATATCAAAGTGTTTCTACGGTTGTCCAACCATGGTCATCCTATTTAGTCGTAAATATCAAAGTTTTGTGTGGCTTTCCAGCCATGGTCATGAATCCTATGCATCACGGACCTTTTCATCAACCCCCCCATCTGCCTTGCATGTTCGTTGCTCCCAAATAAACCTTGCAAAAGAAGCCCGAGCGCCTAAGATTCAATTGCCCAGGTCAAACGGCGCAGCCCACTGACCTTTGATGTCAAAGAAACTAGAAAAGGACGACCATACGGGGGGCTGGCAATCAACATTTCGAACTAAACGGCTCGATTCTTCGGCTGAACTGTGGTTTGAACCCCTGAGTGGAACACGGCCATGTGGCCCAAAATCCTTCGATTTTGTTTTCAAAGGCCTGGTTAGAAGCCGCCGACATATATGGTGTGTCTTTTTTGAGTGTATTCTGTTGTGTGGTGGTTTTAAAGGAAAACCAAGCATAAAACTGCCAAGTTGTTTCTTCTCATTCTTTCTTTGGGGGGGGGGGGGGTCCCACAAAATAACACCCCCCCCATATTGGGGTTTGAAATGCATGCAGCATATTCAAGCCCCAATACTCGATCGATGTAGGCGATATAGACGGCTCAGCCACCCTGCGGCAAGGGGTCCAGCGACTTCCCCGAATCGCTTGTTGATCAATTTATTCTTGGTTCCAATGATTGTTTTGGACGTCGGAATTGAGAGACCCGTGTTGAACTCCCTGCAAAAAAACAAACAAACATATTTTTCGCTGACATGGTAGATCCAGTGAAACATACTGTGGATGGACGAAATCCCTGGAATGATGATCCCCCTGTAAATTCCAACAAACAATGGTTTCCGCATGGCTTCAAAGTGGTGCAGGATTTTGTCCGTCCACAGTATCAGGTCGACAAGTATGATCGTGGAGCATCTCATGTCGCAATGGGGGGGACCCCGTTCGACTAGAGGCTAGAAACTTGTTCTGAGCTCGCAGCCTGGCAAGTTCTCAAACACATGGCTGTGGGTCAAAAATAGGTTAACCCCAAAATGGAACCCTGGTAAATGGAAACATGGACTAAAACCTGCGGTGCCCTGGTGGTTGAATTTTGACCCATATCCACAGTATGGCCACGAAACATGTGGAACACTGGCGACGGTCTTCTTGCTGCCGCAAATTTAAAATCGGATTCCAAAAAGGGCCCCCTATGTTTAAGAACCCCCCCCTTAAGTATGTATTTTTTCTCCCAAGTTGAAGGTGCTACACGCTTGGTCCCCTCGAAATCGCGCTGCAACCCAAGCGCCAGGAACAAATCTCCCGCGAATGGACGCCGTAGAATGGACGCCGCACGAATCGGAGAACCGAGAACCGGATTGACCGCCTGCAGGCTCCTCAGGAGCTGCTCTAAACGGCCATCCTCTGCGGCCTTCGCGGCATTGCCGAGTGACTTGGGAATCTCAGCATGTCTGTTTTGATTTTTTTCAGGCCCCAAGCGTGAAGCGCCCATTCGCGGCTCACAAAAGGAGATGTGGAGAGAAGAAACAATGAGCCACAGGGGTAAACCCGATTGGAAAGGGTCTGAGGTCGCCAGTTGTTGGTAGAGGGACGCGCAAATGAAGCCACCGGCCAACATCTCACAAACTAAGAGCAACCAGGTTGCCAGGTCTCCTGATTGATTGCAAGCCCACACACATAGACAAGTGGCACATCAAAAAACACGTCTTCCATTCGCTTCTGCTAAGCCATGAGCTATGGACCAGCCCTTTGCCTTTGAAGCCACAGGGGTGTTATCACAACACAGAACCCGAGGCAAACGGACGGAGAAACAGGGCAGGACGTCTAAGGCCGGCGACTCGATATGATCACTGCGCTCACTTGCAAAGCACCCGCATCTCGCATGGACCGCCAAATGGGATGTACCAAAACTTGGCGGGTGGGTGGGTCCCCCTTAACTTGTTGTTCAAATGGAAAGCAAACCAGTTTTAAGGGTCGCCCATTTTTTGGGAGGAAGACCCAGCTGTTGTCATGAGCGAGACCCCCATGGGAAGTTGCCAAAGCTACAAAGAAAGGACCAACACGCCATTTCCGGGCTTACATCTACTTTTTGGATATCTAACAGTGGAACCCTGGTGGAACTAAGGTGCACAGGGGAAATGGCCGGGTGAACTCCCATTACTCAAAGACATACCAAACCCCAGCATGTTCCAACAGGGAAAATTAATTGCGCCAAAAAACGCTGATTTCGTTGAACAGGCCATGCTGAACAAAAGTAACCCTTGACCTATGTACCCAAACACTCCAGGAACGCAACACATTTTTTGCCCACATTTACCCTTGCCCGCCAAACACTCGAACCAGGAATGCACCATTTTGCCCCACAAATGCCTTGCCCTCCAAACACTCGAATCAGGAATGCAAAACTGTTACCCACAGATGCCTTGCCATCCAAGTAAGTCCGCCGACCCCTTCTCCTCAAAGGGGGAGGCGTACGGGAAGGGCGGTTACAAGTCCAAGGCTGGCTGGTAAATGAGCGTAACCGAAGATTCAACATCATCATCATCATCATCATCATCATCATCATCGGCGTGGCGGTCGTCGCCGCTGTCCTTATCTTGATTATCATGATGACTGCTGGTGATGCTGAGGATGAGTCATGATGATTATCATGTCAGTTCATCATCATCATCATCATCATCATCATCATCATCATCATCATCACGGTGCTCATCATCATCAGCTTCTTCGTCATCGTCCTTATCTTTTTTTTATATACGTTTCAAGTGTCCCGTTCGACCCGATTCGAGATGCAGAAGATGCGCGGACATGATTATCATGATGACTGCTGGTGATGCTGAGGATGCGTCATGATGATTATCATGTCAGTTCATCATCATCATCATCAGCATCATCATCACGGTGCTCATCATCATCATCTTCTTCGTCATCGTCCTTATCTTTTTTATATCGTTTCAAGTGTCCCGTTAGACCCGATTGGAGATGCAGAAGATGCGTGGACATGATTATCATGATGACTGCTGGTGATGCTGAGGATGCGTCATGATGATTATCATGTCAGTCATCATCATCATCATCAGCATCATCACGGTGCTTATCATCATCATCTTCTTCGTCATCGTCCTTATCTTTTTTTTTATATACGTTTCAAGTGTCCCGTTAGACCCGATTTGAGATGCAGAAGATGCGCGGACATGATTATCATGATGACTGCTGGTGATGCTGAGGATGCGTCATGATGATTATCATGTCAGTTGGTGTTCATCATCATCATCTTCTTCGTCATCGTCCTTATCTTTTTTTATATACGTTTCAAGTGTCCCGTTAGACCCGATTTGAGATGCTGAAGATGCGTGGACATGATTATCATGATGACTGCTGGTGATGCTGAGGATGCGTCATCATGATTATCATGCCAGTTCATCATGATCATCATCATCAGCATCATCACGGTGCTTATCATCATCATCTTCTTCGTCATCGTCCTTATCTTTTTTATATACGTTTCAAGTGTCCCGTTAGACCCGATTTGAGATGCAGAAGATGCGCGGACATGATTATCATGATGACTGCTGGTGATGCTGAGGATGCGTCATGATGATTATCATGTCAGTTGGTGTTCATCATCATCATCTTCTTCGTCATCGTCCTTATCTTTTTTTATATACGTTTCAAGTGTCCCGTTAGACCCGATTTGAGATGCAGAAGATGCGTGGACATGATTATCATGATGACTGCTGGTGATGCTGAGGATGCGTCATGATGATTATCATGTCAGTTCATCATCATCATCATCATCATCACGGTGCTCATCATCATCAGCTTCTTCGTCATCGTCCTCATCTTATTTTTTATGTACGTTTCAAGTGTCCCGTTAGACCCAATTTGAGATGTAGAAGATGCGCGGACATTATTATCATGAAGACTGCTGGTGATGCTGAGGATGCGTCATGATGATTATCATGTCAGTTCATCATCATCATAATCAGCATCGTCATCATGGTGCTCATCATCATCATCTTCTTCGTCATCGTCCTTATCTTTTTTTATATACGTTTCAAGTGTCCCGTTAGACCCGATTTGAGATGCAGAAGATGCGTGGACATGATTATCATGATGACTGCTGGTGATGCTGAGGATGCGTCATCATGATTATCATGTCAGTTCATCATCATCATCATCATCCTCATCCTCATCCTTATCATCACTATCATCATGGTTATGATCATCTCTTATTAGCCGGCACTGGTGATGCCGAGGATGTCATCATCATCTCGTATTAGGCAGCACTGGTGATGCAATGGGTGTTTCGATGATAGTTATCATCAAAATCATCATCATGATCATCCTTATTATGATGTCATCGCTCTTCTCATCATCATCATGATGATCATCATCATCTCATTCTTGTTCTCATTCTTATATGCATTTCAAAAGTAGCGAGGCAGCACTGGTGATGCAAAGGGTGTTACATAATCATCATCATGATCAACCTTATTATGATGTCATCGCTCTTCTCATCATCATCATGATGATCATCATCATCTCATTCTTGTTCTTATTCTTATGTGCATTTCAAAAGTAACGTTAGACCCCATTGGCAATGCAGAGGATGCTACGACGATACTTATCATCACAGTCCTCATCCTTATCATCACTATCATCATGCTTATTATCATCTCTTATTAGCCGGCACTGGTGATGCCGAGGATGTCATCATCATCTCTTATTAGGCAGCACTGGTGATGCAAAGGGTGTTACGATGATAGTTATCATCATAATCATCATCATGATCATCCTTATTATGATGTCATCGCTCTTCTCATCATCATCATGATAGCCATCATCATCTCATTCTTGTTCAAGGGCTGCCGCCCAGTGCCGCCGACCCCTGGATTTAGTTGTGGTTCTCGAGCAGCCAAAAAACACTGCCCTTGGTTTTGGTTTCTTTGGTTTCTTGCGAATGATGCGTAGTGATGATTATCATCAAGGCAGGACTCCAAATCTCAATGACCCAAATGGCATCTGAGGCGAGGTGCCGTTTCGACAGTGATGCGTAGTCATGATTATGATCATCGCTGCTGGAGATGCTGGGGATGCGTAGTGATGATTATCCTCATGATTGCCACAGATGCTGCGAATGATGCGTAGTGATGATTATCATCAAGGCAGGACTCCAAATCTCAATGACACAAATGGCATCTGAGGCGAGGTGCCGTTTCGATAGTGATGCGTAGTCATGATCATCGCTAGGCACCCTTGGTAATGCAGAGGATGCTACGATGATAGTGATCATGACAGGGATCATTTGTTGCCCAGCAAGTCACAGTCCCTGTTCGTGTCTTCAAAAATGCAAACAAAACCCTGAAATACAAGATTAGCCTTTTGGGGCCACTAACATTTCACCCAAAAGAAACCAAAGAAACCAAAACCAAGGGCACTGTTTTTTGTGGCTCCAAAACCACAACTAAATCCAGGGGTCGGCGGCACTGGGCGGCAGCCCTTAAATCCGGCCACCGGACGTGATCGGGCCGCAGGCCAAAGCCCGTTAGGGCTTACCTTCAGGTATAAGGCCGCGCGCCCCATGCCGCCGACCATGCGCGGACCATGCGCATACGTTTTATGCTGGGCCCTCCCTTATAAGGGGCGAAGGATTTGCGGATTGGTTTAGGCGATTGTTGTAGCATCTCCCCGCAGCGTCCAAAAACGAGCATTTTTAGGGGGTGCCTAATACTGGACAACACCCCCAGCATTGCCAGCATCATCCCGGATGATGCGGATGATGTTATGCATGCCGGCGATGCGGGGGATGCTGGGGATGTTGTCCACTAAGTCGGGCCAATTTTGCCGAAAATGTGCAACCTGAAAATCTGAAAATCTAAAGTGGATGGAAATGGATGGAAAATGGCCTGGATTGAAATCTCAAAATCCTAAAGTCTTAGACTCTTAAAATCGTAAATTAATATCTAACAATCAATCTTAGAATCTCAAGATGTTAAAATATTAGAACTTAGAATGTTAAAATCTAAAAATATAAAAACTTCCTAAAGTCTTCGAATAGAATCTTGAGATCTTAAACTCTTAAAATATGAAATCTTAGAACCTTAATTCTTAAACCATTGAAACCTTAAATTCCGAAAGTCTTCAAATCTGAGACCCTTAGAATCTCAAAGTTTTTAGAATTTTAAAATCTTAACATCTACTCATCGGACTTACAGGAAAGGGAAGTGACAGAAACCCTCATGTCTTTGAATCTTCAGATGTTAAAATCTTAAAATATGAAATTCCTAAATTCTCAAAGTCTGAAAATCTCAGAATCTTAAAAGCTTCAAAAACTTAAATTCTTTAAATCTCGAACTATTGCAGTCTGAAAATCTTAAATTCATAAACAAGTAAAATATAATAAAATTCCTTCAATACGGGCTATCTTCTTCTAAATTCCTTAAACTCTTAATCTTCAACTTTTGAAGTCTTGACATCTTAAGATCTTAAAATCTTAAATTCCGAAAGTCGCCAAATCTGAAAATCTCACAAAAAAATAGAATCTTAAAGCCTTCGAAATCTGATAATGGATGGTAAATGGCTGGGCAATGGCCTGGCTGTTATAACCTTCAAAAGCCTTAAATCTTCGAATCTTAAAACCTTAATTCTTCAACCATTGAAACCTTAAATTCCGAAAGTCTTCAAATCTGAGACCCTTAGAATCTCAAAGTTTTTAGAATTTTAAATCTTAACATCTACTCATCGGACTTACAGGAAAGGGAAGTGACAGAAACCCTCATGTCTTTGAATCTTCAGATGTTAAAATCTTAAAATATGAAATTCCTAAATTCTCAAAGTCTGAAAATCTCAGAATCTTAAAAGCTTCAAAAACTTAAATTCTTTAAATCTCGAACTATTGCAATCTGAAAATCTTAAATTCATAAACAAGTAAAATATAATAAAATTCCTTCAATCCGGGCTATTTTCTTCTCAATTCCTTAACCTCTTAATCTTCAAATTTTGAAGTCTTGACATCTTAAGATCTTAAAATCTTAAATTCCGAAAGTCGCCAAATCTGAAAATCTCAAAAAAACATACAATCTTAAAGCCTTGGATGGAAAATGGCTGGGCAATGGCCTGGCTGTTATAACCTTCAAAAACCTTATATCTTTGAATCTTAAAACCTTAATTCTTCAACCATTGAAACCTTAAATTCCGAAAGTCTTCAAGTCTGAGACCCTTAGAATCTCAAAGTTTTTAGAATTTTAAGATCTTAACATCTACTCATCGGACTTACAGGACAGGGAAGTGACAGAACGGGCAGGGCAAGGTGCCCGGTGGCCGGCTGTGTCGCGTCAGCGTGTAAATAAACTTAAGTCACCCGGGGACCGCAGGTTTTAGTCTACTTTGCCATTTGCCAGGGTCCCATTTTGGGTACCTATTTTTGACCCACAGCCAAATGCGGTGTCGTTTTCCGTTGACGCATTCACGCCTGGCCCAGCAATCCGGCCACCGCCACACGGCTGGCATCCAGCGACTGCTCCTGTCAAAATTGGTCCACGCCTTTCGACGGCTCACTTGCATTCAGTGGACCCAGAAATAAACAGGCTCCGGTGTTTTCTTTCTGGAATCACATATTGAACAAAACAAACACCAAATGAGAATGACAAATGAGGAAATTTAAAATAAACACGGCTGGAGTAAACTCAAAAAGAAAAACAACGGTTCCGAATAATAAAAGGTGATCAGGTTTTGGGGGCATGACTACAGATGGACCAACCAGGAAAAACTACAAGGTCAGACCCGGTCGATTCGCCTCGAGCAAGTGAGCAACCAGTGGTGAAGAAACATGCTTGCCCATTGATTCTGAACAAGAAACAGGGTTTCTTGCCCAAGCTGATGAAGCAAAACAGAAACCAGCTACAGGAACCTCCGCACGAACTCAGCTTGCTTTTTGGTCGGGTTTTTCACCAATGTCCAGTATAAATTCCTGTAGCTGGTTGCAATCCCTGCTCTAAAACCTAAATCTTAAACCCCCTAAAGACCCTAAACGTCGCAAATTACTTTCAGAACCAAAAGCAATTCTCTAGACTCTGAACGATGGATTTCCCCTAGAGAACCCCTCATTGCCGTCTTGGGGCAACGAACATAGGGACAACGGTCACAAGGGCTGAACCCTTTTTTGGACACGGTCGTAAATGGAAACCAAAGAAAACAAACATTCGTTTTGGAGAACTCCTTCCGATTTGAGTGATTCTTTTCAAACGCCTTCCCGGAGAAGAAAAAAAAAGAGAACGGTTTAAGAGCCGGACCCATTCAAAGCCAAAGGATCTTCAACCAGTTGTCTTCCATGACCCTTTGCCTTTCAATCAAGGAACCTTAAATGATCAACCACCAGCCCGGCAAATAAAAGATGTGCCTTTGCTGCAGGTTAGTACCGTTCTTTTTGGGGTGTGAATTCAAGAGACCAAAGAGAAACGGAAGTCCATGTGTAATGGTTTCATGGGCGCCCTGTTCACAGACAAGCCTACATGGAGATCAGGTGTGCATGGGAGGTTCCCTGGGAAACACGTCTACATCCAATGTCCAATGTGCAACGCTATCTTCGCATACTCAAAAAACACATCTTAACTTCGCGTGAGTTTCAGGTACTACCGCACAACCCATTCCCCTTGAGAACCAATAGGACAGATTGAATAGACAAAAGCATACACAAGCACCAAGTCAACCGGGAAAGGGACAAACAAACGAGTTGGGACAGTCAAGGGGACCTGACAAGAAGCTCACTTCCTGAGTGGAGCGGCCAAACAAACGTCCAAACTGTTTGCTTGCCACTAAAGTGACCTTCCCCGAAAGTGAATTTTCAGTCCAGGAACTCAGGAAGTGAGTCCATGAGGACAGTGAGTTTCTAAAAACCAATTGAGGGGGAAGCCAGGCCAGGGGCTTCAATGGGAACAACTTTGTGGCAGCCTGGACGGACCGGCCGAAGACCTGCCGAATGGCTTGAGAGAACTCGCGGCCACCAAGTGCATGGTCGCCTTCGTAGCTCGAACTTCATTCTTTGGGAGCTCGAACTTCAAGGGGTTTGTCTTAAACCGGGGGAACCCCCGAAGTGGTGGTGCCTTGCTTTCATCTCCCCAGCAAAAACCAACCAGAAGGGGGGCCTCCCCTCAAAAAACGCACAGACCCAACTGGTTCCGAAAGCGGAACCCGGGAGAACCAGCAAGCCTTGGCCGCGGCCATTTGCTCCAAGACCTTCTCCAGCGACCCATCTTGGCACGCCTGGTTCTTCGAACCCGAGCTCTCGACTCGGTTTCAGGACATGGACGATTTGGGAACCCTTGTTGTTTTACTGAGTTTTAAGTCGGATTCAAATCCCCTCCGTTGTTTTAAGTCGCACATTTCGGCGGGTCCGCCTCCAAGAGACTACCGGATAATTCGACCAAACCTCATGCGGGAGCCGCCGTCCCGTAAAAAAGTGCAAGCGAAAAAGGAACGAATTCGATCCACGTAAATGAGTTATTCAAGACGTGTGTTGTCAACAGATCTGCGAAAGTGGTTGGTTTCCTGTTGGTTTCTTCTTGGACCACCCAACAACGGCCCCAGAAGCAATGAGGACACACGAAAACCTTCGTTTAATGGGGGGCCTTAAAGCACACGAACAATAACACCTCTGACACCAACACAACCAATCCCT